TTCCATTTTTATGTTTTTTATCTCTTTGTTGAAATTCTCACTGAATTTATCTACACTTCCCATGAGTTCATTGAGCAACTTTATAATCAGCATTTTAAACTCTGCATCTTTGAGATTGCTTGACTCCATTATTTCTGGATCTCTGTTCTGTTCTCTCATATGGTTTCTGCTTCTTTGTCTTCCCATTTTGGCTGCCTTGCTGCATCTGTTTCCATGTACTAAGCTCAGCTCCTAAGTCTCTCAGTCTTATTAGTGTAGATTTGTTAAGTAGGTGTCCAGAGGCACAGTCCTGAGAGGCATTCAGCTGCAAGCCAAATTTAGCTCAAGCCTGTGCCCCTTCAGGGCCACCTGTTAAGATTCAGCAAGCGATCCACAGATGCTGTGCTAATAGTTGCCTCAAAAGACCACACCAAAAACTGAGGCCAGCTGCCTCCGGTGTGTGTCTAGGTGCTGCTCAGCAAGGAGTGCTTGACTTGTGAGTCTAGGTGCTGCTCAGCAAGGAGTGCCTGACTCACAGGGGATACACCTGGATATGGTGTAGCCTCTTTGGTGGGGCTGTGAATTGGGAGAGGCAGGGTTTCAAGGAATCCTCTAGGTGGAGAGACTTCTGTTATCCAGTTTGATGATGTTTTGGCTATGGCAGCGCTGAGTCTGCACACTGGGAGGGGAGAGGACTCAACAAGGAATGATGGATACTGCCAGCACTTCTGTACAGAGCGAGTATCTCCTTGGTCCTCACTCAGACAACTCAGTGTCCCCCTGAGAGTCCCTGCACAGCTGAACCGGCACTGGTGCTCAGAGCAAGTGAGTCTGTCACTGCGAAAGTCCGCTTGCGGACATGGCCCGTTTTAGAGGTGTCTGCCACTGCCACTGCCACAGCCTCCGTCCCACTTGGCTGCTTGGGACAGGCAGCCCCGCATCTTTGCTTTTTTGTACCTTCTGCCATTGCAGGGTGATTTCTTATATTTCTTTCTAGTTGTATGGCTTGATCATCTAGACACCAATTTTTCTTTGCTGTTTGCTCCTTGTTTCTGTCACAATTTTGATTTGGTTGCCAAAGGGATGAACGGAGCCTCTATCATCTACACTATTCCCCCGCCCAAGCAATGTTCTTGATGTGGTCACAGATGTTGTAATCCTTCCAGAATTGCATCAGTGTCTTCTCAGTGTCTTCCTCAGGTACAGCAATAGCCTGGGCAATGGTCCTCCTCGGATGGTAGGTCTTAAAAGCCGCTATAACTCTTTGACCCATTGGTTGGATCAAAGAGGTGATGTTTGAAAGGAGAAACATCACCTTGATGCTGGGATGAAGCTCACCAATAAAAGGAAGGTGTATGGGAGCGTTATCAACAATAAGCAAAATCTTGAAAGGTGTGTTATTCTCCAAAGAGAACTTCTCCATTTCACTGGTATAGCAATTCAGTAGGACATTTTGGAAGAGGAGCTGTGTCATCCATGACTTCTTATTGCCCTTGTAGTACACTGGTTGCATGTATTTATTGATATGCCTAAATGCTCTTGTGTTCTCACTGTGCCAGATCACAAAGGGTTTCAATTTGCAGCCCCCAACCAATACTGTTATCCTGTCCTTAAAAGCCTAAAAACCTGGCATTGATTTGGTTTCCTTATGAATGAAATCCTCTCAAACATTAGTTTTCAGAACAGGGAGATTTCATCCATATTGAATATTTGCTCTGGTAAGTAATTTTCCTCCACAGTCAGTTTATCTAGAGTGTCCAAAAATTCTTCAGCTGCCTTCACATCAGCACTCACATTCTCACCACTAACTTTCACATTATTCAGTGAATCATGACTCTTGAATTGTTTAAATCACCCAGAGCTAGCAGTAAATTCAAGATCGTAGTTAGGTCCAGCCTTTATCTTTCAAAATTGTAAACAAACTTTTTGTCTTGGCCATGATCATCATGGTGATGTGAGGGACACTGTTCTGTGTCTGGTCTTCAGTCCAGGTCATTAGATGTTTCTCTCTATCTGATTGATATAGGCCCTTCTCGAATTTTTGTTAGTTTTGTTGCCTGCAGTAAAGCAGATCATTTACAGCTTCTGTCACTTTGCTCTTGTTCTTCAAGATTTTAGCTATGGTAGAAAGGGCCGTGCCTGACTGGCAAGCAATAACTATCACTGATTTTCTGCCTTCGTAGTCCTTAATCATTTTTAATTTGTTTCCAGGTCAATCACTTGACGTGGCCTCTTATTGGCAACATTAGCAGTGGATTTTGTACCTTTAGAGGCCATGATGAAGAAAATGTGAGATGAAATCAAGGACAATAGAAAACGATGCAATCAAGAGATGCAGAGTCCATCAACAGATGAATGGATAAAGAAGAGGTGGTACATATATACAATGGAATATTATTCAGCCATAAAAAAG